GAGTCAGTCAGTCATATCTCGACTCGTCTCATTTCCTCTTCTCTGGTCTAGTCTCACAAGGATGTTGGACACATGTGCCTTGGAGCAGTTGCGTGTTGCGTGACCATGAAACCATCACTTCATCGGCCGAGCGAAGCTTGCATCTCACTAGCGCTCCCACTGGTAATTTTGTCAGTTTCGTGTGACATCAACTGGTGTTGTCTAAATACCGTGCTAGTAGAGAGCTTTGCAAGCCGTAGGCACTCGCTCCGTTTCATCCCATTCCAGATAATCCCCTCTCCCAACCTCCTCTCCACTCATCGTTGGATTACTGCTGGGTGGGAAAAAGAGTGGAAGGGGCTGCAGCTGCCTGAGAATGGCGTGGATTGTCATAATGATCCAAAGTGGTGACGAAATGGAACAGCTGCTTCTGCTGATGCTCCATCAGCACTCTGACATGAACAGTGGAGGCGGATGCTACCGACCGCTGAATGCTGCTACTTGCAGCACCTTGCTCAACGCATTAAGCATGTTGGCACGATATGTAAGCGCCTCCATTAATCCGTGTTCCCTTCACAAGCCGTTGCAGCCCTATCGACATCGACTTTGTCCCCCGACTCCACGCAATACAACGTGTCATCTGCGTGCACTTCCAGCCAAGCCTCCAGGTGCCCTCGCTTTGGTGCCTTCTCTCCGTGAAGCAGATTCGCATTGACCGCAGCAATGACAGGAAAACTGGTCACCTAGACAGACGAATCCCGTGGTGGAAGCGACATCATGGCGTCCCTCTTTACTGGCAACATGGCTGCCGAGTGCACCAGCAGCTTTCAATCGCACACTAATTGAAGGAAAGAAAGGAAGAAGAGAAGAGATGGGATGATGGTGAAGGCGAACGTGAATGAGCATATGCGTGCGAACGCGATCCTCTTCTCAAAGCAGTGGAAAGTGCTTTCAACACTTTGTGAAAGTATAGGCAATCGAAGTGGCGATGGCAAAGACGCCTTACCTCCTATGCAAACCGCACAAGTGTGTCAAGTGTTCTGCCACCCATCACCTAGATGCATGGAAATCTACTCCTCTATTCATTCCATGACAATTCTTTGCCATGCATTGGACTCAATCTGCAATACTTGCATGCCGAGTGGTGCGTTGCAATCAGTCAAGGCAATTCGAGCTTCACACTCAACAAAATGACCTGCGAATCTTTCGTCGTGAACGAATGCAGCAAAAGTAGTCGCCTTCCCCACACCGTGTATATCCTGCCCACTCCTCACCCACCTCCTCAATGCCATCCTTTTCACACAGCGCTGCATGTATGAGCAGGTACCAAAAACTGACACCGATTACATGTCACTCAACTGACGTGTCACTTATAACTCAATTATCAAGGCGTTACATTAACCAGAAAGACAGCCTTACTAACCTTGCATGTCGTGACGTTGGTGACCAGTATTCCCTCCATTCGATGTCCGGTGGACCATTCATTCAATGTCGATGTTGGTGTCGGTGTCTGCGTACATTTGCTCCAAGTGCAGCTACTTGGGCCCTCAATCGTCTCCATCTCACACGACTCCTTCCACGGGATTTCGTCACATTCCCATCCTCGCAATTCTCCTCGGACACCTCCTCCTCCTCCACCTCTTTCGCCATTCTGCCATTC